AAATATACTTAGAAATTTGACTCTTTCTTTAAATAGGTAGTACTCCTTATTTCTGTACTGAATGACTTTAGTGGTTATGATGATTCTTTTTTTTCTTCTTTTTCTCTCAGGTATTACTTCTCACTCAGTATATTAACTGCGAGCAGCCATTTCTCCATTCATTCAACAAATATTTACTGAGCACCTTCTATGTTCAAAGCATTATTCTGGGACCTGGTCATATAATAAGGCTCAAAATATTCAATAGTGATCAAATATACTTCCTTCTCTCAAGGAAGTTAAATTGTGGAAGGAAAGACAGACATAAGTGATTATACAGGAATATTGGACTTCCAGGGGGTTTGAGAACTGCTAAACTAAGATAATGAAGGGGGAAGAAAAGAAAGTATACAATCCCAGTTCACCATTAAAGGATTTAAAATGGGCATAATGTAAGGTTTGAGTTAAAATTAGAACTAATCACTATTTTAGAAAACAGAATTGAAACAGTTTAAGAATTTGCCATAAGTCTTATTAGAGCAACTACATTTTTTACTGAGATGTCATTTTTACCAATAGTAACTTTAGCAGTATTAATTATGAGATATGATTGGGCTGGGGAAATGATTTCCATATTAATGAAGTGATCAAATCATAGATGTTTAAATTATTTCTTTGGCTATATAATGCATTTTAATAAAATGTATATACTTGTTGAATCCTTATGAGATGCTACAATTGTAGATAGAAATGTGATCATTTTTATCACTTAGTAAGTACAGAGATGAGATCTCCACAAGTTTCAAACTTATAGGAGTAAAGTGAGGTCTGAGGAATGGTAACCAAGATATAGTAAGGAACTGTATTTTATGTGATTTCTCTTTCATTGCTGTCTGCAGTCCTAATATAAATATATTTCTGATTTGGTTGGTTTATAAAATTACTGTACTTGGTATATTTATGTTTGTGTAGACCTGGTAAGAGAAATGGAGACAATGTGGAGAAATTATTTTTAACGTACTACTTTTTCCTAAGCCTTCATAATCCTACTGCTAAGATGAGTAAACTTCTGTGACACATTGGTTTAAAAAATTATTTCTGTTTCACATATGCATTTTGGGGGCTTAAAATCATGCTTTTTAAGGTAATATGACTATAGTTTTAGAATAAGTTCTGTTAAAGTAGATATGCTTCTGTGAACTTAAATCTGAGCCACCAATTTATGAAAGAGTAGCTTGATCATCTTTGTATCATCAGTGTCTAGAATAGAACTTAGAGTAAATATTTAATAAATTGTTACTGAATGAAACAATTTTTGAAAAGCAAATTTGTACGCTGAGTTATAGGACAGAACATACATAAGAGTACCTGCATGCCAAGACTCGAGTTATGGTTTATAACAGAACAGACTGTATTGTTGGCTATGCCCACTTCTTCCTATATATGTTTTTTGTAGCACCTCATGGAGTATGACTGTTGTAGGAGTAATGTGCTTACAATTATGATTATGATATACTACTATGAAAATGTGCCAAGAGAACTAATCATTCCATATTCTGAATTGTTAAAAATGCAATGTGTATGATTCCATCAGATGGGTAATAACCAGGGTTATAAATTATTTAAAATAATGTATTAGAATAATATACCATAAAATATAAAATATTTTCAAATTAAGGCTGTAATTCAGAATCCATTTAAGACATCAGCTTGACTCTTAGTACATTAGTACCATTTTAATTGTTTTATTCTGATAACATTAATATTTGTGGACACCAGCTTTACAAAAGGAGAAAAAAATGAATAAAGATACTACTAAAAGTGTAATTAATAGCTAGGAAATTTCATTTTTAGGAATTACAAAAGAAGCTCATGTATTATGTTGGATATAAATTTAAATGCTTATATATATATATTTATATGCTTAATAATTCTTATGTATTGAAATATACCCAGTAACATGGCATTTCAACTTAAAAGTTCTTACCATGTTTTTAAGAAAATGTACTCTGAGTAGAACAATTTTAAGAGGTTGAGAAGCCATTACCTTCACCTGTAGTGTCAAAATTCCAGACAGAAGACATTAGAAGACATTAGAAGACATTAGAAGTCCTTCCCAGAATTCTACAGCCTTCCAAGACTACTTCCTCAGTAATGAAATCCAGTATCTGTGCTATGAGACAGCGCTCTCCTTTTCTTTCTGTGTCATTCCTTTCTCATTTTTTAATAAAATATTGTAGGCATACCAAAAGGTACATAGAGATGTGAGAACAAATAGAATCTCGGCACTGGGAAGGATTTGTTCCTCTGATCATCTGGAGCTCTGCTTAATATAATTTTTGAAGTTACATAAAATTTTAACATATTTGATTTTGTATAAAGGAGGTATTCTGTAAAGTTAATTAATATGGTCTTATTGTATGCCTTTTTGTGAATATGGTATACTTCCCTTAAAAGTCTGTTTTGCATGTTAGACTCCTCAGAAATAGCTAATAGCGAGGAGGTAACTGGTTGACAAAAGGCTAGACCTACATGGGTTCTGAACTTGGGCTGCTTGGATGGACTTAGGGACCTATGAGCCCCCTGAAACCTCCTGCCACTGTGTGTGTGTGTGTGTGTGTGTGTGTGTTGCATACATGGAACTTTCTGAGAGTCCATTGCTTTCATCTGGATCCCAGGGTAGATCTGTAATCTGTATCTCCTCCCCTCTGCACCCTGCTTCACACCAACTCCATATACACAAAGTTTTAAGAACCACTGCTGGGAAATTGGTAAAACTGATGAGTGGAACTGTGACTAGACACTATTAGAATTACTGGTAGCTCTAGTATCTGTCACTTGCTAATGAAACCTCTTGTTTAGAATATTGATTAATCTAAGTAGTCACAAAAAGGACAGTTAGTAATAAAATTCAGATTTTGCTCACTGTATAATTTTTTGTATGTGTGCTTGAATATACATGTGACTTAATTGAAAAGAACAAAGACTTGTGTCTGAAAGCCCTTTCCATATCATAAATGTGAGGATTGTCTTGATTTCTGATTCTAGCTGTGTGTTTCAATGCCTTCTTATTTTTGCCTGAAACTTTTTCTGTAACTAGAGCTTTTTTGAGGAGGGGGTAGAGTTTGGGGTTTGGATATGGAGAATTGCTATTTTGCTTATAAAACTTGAAGCATATTCTCTTTTTTTTAATTCCTTTAAAATATTTATTATCTAGCTGTGATGTGCCAGACATTGTGCTGGGGATAAAGTAATGAACAAGGCAAATATTGCCTCTGGACTTGTCTTATTGTCAAGGGAGAAAGACAAAGAAATTTGTTATAAGGTATATGATTGGGAGTGTGCACGGTGCTATGGGTCATCTCACAGGAGCATCTAAGTAAAGACTGTAGATGGTGTTCTGTTTTTAATTTTGGTGTCCACATGGTCATTGTCAGTACATAGAAGTATGGTTGATTTTTGAGTGTTCTTATATCCTGTGACATTACTAAACTCTTTTATTCTAGAAGTTTCCCGTAAATTTCTTGGGATTTCTGTGTAGATGACTATGTTATTTTCTAATAAGGACAGTTTTATTAAATCTTTTCCAACCCATATGCCTTCTGTTGTCTTACTGAAGGAGTTAAAATGCCCAGTGCTGTGTAGAATGAGAGTGCTGCTGACTCACAGACAGAAAACAAACTTAAGGTTACCAAAGGGAAAGGATGGGACAGGGATAAAGTAATAGTTTGGGATTAACAAATACAAACTACTGTATATAAAATAGATAAACAACAAGGTCATACTGCACAAGGAACTACATTCATTACCTTTTAATAACCTATAATGAAAAAGAATATGAAAAAGTGTATGTGGGGTGTGTGTGTGTATATATATATATACACACATGTATAAACTGAATCATTATGCGATACACCAGAAACTAACACAGCATTGTAAATCAACTATATTTTAATAAAAAATAAGAGTGCTGAGAATAGACATCCTCGTCCTGATCCAGATCTTAGGGGAGAGTATTTAGTTTTCACCATTATACATGCTGTCAGTTTAAGTTTTTTGTAGATGCTCTTTATCAAGTTGAGGAAGTTCTCCACGCGTTTACTGAGAGTTTTTTATCATGAGTGCCTGTTGAACTTTGTGAAATGCTTTTTCTGCATCATTATGGACTCATGTTTAGCTCAATGTAGATACAGATGTCTATTTTTAAGCACTGCATATCCAGTGTCTAGTACAGCATCTAGCACAGGTAGCAGATATTCAGTAAATACCCGTGGGATGAGTTGATCAGTCGTGTTTGGCCAGGATGTGGGACATTCTGGTTTAGCTTAGTCAGATGTTCATCCTTAAATCATTCAACTGTGGCCATAGATCTATAGGATCATGTAAGAGTATTGAAGACCTCACTGGAATCACGTGGTTTGAATGAGAAAAGAAACGTTTCCCAGAAGCTCAAGGGAGAAGAGTACGCAAAAGTAAGACCAAGGATTACTAGTAGCATCCTTTGGAACAAGGGTGGGAATCTGACCCTAAGTTCAGGTTTGTGGTATAAAACAAGATTATTTGGAGTGGCAGAGAACACACGCACTTACAGGGTACAATGGTCTTGATACTGGGAAAAACTCTCGTATATAGATCTGGAATTGCAGTTAACATTACTGAATTAGAGAAAATTTCATGTTTCAAAATAGGGAGCTAGACCTATCAGTATTATCTGGGACTCTTATTTGTGGTGGGAGAAAACTTAAGTCAAACTAACTCACACAAAGAGCTAGTTGCATTGTGACTAAACAGCTTAGGGGAGTGGGGGCCTATGCTTGCTTTAAGCGTGCTTAGAGATTTAAGGGTTTAACATCCCATCGCCTTAGCCACTCAGCCACCTCATCAGGTGACTTAAGGATCTGGATGCTCAGCCTGTATCCTCAGTGATCTTTTTCTCTTTAATCCTCATTGTTGCTTCTTTCTGGGTTAGCTTTGTTTTCTGACTATCTATGGTAAGAAGAGCACTCCTTTCATCAGTAGCTTCAGATTTTTATTGTCATTGCAGCTGGTGTTCTCAGGAGAAAGATTTCCCTGTCAATCCCTGAAAAGGGCATCTGAACGGGCCTACTTCAATCAGGTGACTACTCCTAAACCAATAACTAAATCTGAGGATTGAACACCCAGTCCTACATTTATGCTTGTTTTTGTCACAGGAATGGTGGAGACGCAAGACAGGTTTTTTTTTTTTTAAGCAAGTCTATTTTTAAAAGTAGTGACTTTTCAAAAAAAAAAGTAGTGGCTTCCTTTTTGTTTTTTTAAGAAGAGGATTGTTGTCTCTACATCTTCTCAGAGTGTTGGAATGGAAGGATGGTAAAGTGGTAAAGAAAAAGAAAAACAATTTATACATATAAATATAATGCTATTTAATATATTATTTAATATAATATATTATTTAATATAATGCTACAGTTATTAACATCCTCATTTTAATATATTATTTAATATAATGCTACAGTTATTAACATCCTCATTCCTCAGATTAAGTTGTTATACTTCTTATCTATTGACAGTTAACAAAAATAATTAATAATCATAATTGAAGAAACTGCTTAGAACTGTCATTATCTCACCTGGATTGCGGCAGTAGCCTCTATGTCGTATGTCTAGTATAGTGTGACAAGCTCATCCCAAGGTTTCGTGGGTGGAAAAGGTGTTTCTTCTGCTAATCTTGCCCGTGCTCACTTATACAGCTGCATTCATCTGGCAGCGGGCTGGCCCGGAGCACCCACCATGGCCCCCCCCCCACACGTCTGGTGCCTGAGCTGGCATGGCTGGGACAGCTGGGTGCTTTGGTTCTCTTCCACATGGCCTCTCTCCACGTGGTGTCTCGTCCTCCAGGGGCCTCTCTGTCTCCAGCAGAGCAGTCTGGACTGTAAATAGTAGTTGGGTTTTCACGAACAAAAACAAGCCCTGAGTCCTCTGGAGGCCTCTGCTTGGAACTCCCTGCCCATCATCAGTGTGTCCCTTCCATTACAGTTTTAGAATAAGTCAAAAGGCTAGCTCTGAGTCAGTGTGGAAGGAGGCAACATGATGATGTGAATGCAGGGAGGCAAGATTCATCTGAGGCCATTTAGTAAGAATCTACCATAGCTCCATAATGTTTCCCTGCTTTTCCCTGCCCCCCTCAGATCTACTCTTAACACAGGAGGTCATACAGTATCACTTCTCTGTCTAAGTCATTTCACTCAGAATAAAAGCCAGTCTTTATATTGGCTTACAAGGCTCTGTGTAATCCTTAGTCAAATAGGAATTTGTATTTCATATAAAACCAGTCCAAAGTTGGCATTCCGAGACCTATATAGCAGTTTAGTAAAGCCATCCAGGTCCCGGGCTCTCTCTCTGCTTTGTCATCCTTGTCTTTTTCCTATTTGTCTATTACTGGCTCAGGATGGCTCCTGCACCTTCAGGCTTTGGGTCTGCATTCTAGACAAAAGGAAAAGGAGAAGTGGAAGCTTTTCCCAAAATCCTGGGCTTCTCTGACAAGAAT